TGCAGGGGTAGTCTTCCAGCCTAGTTGGACTGCCGCCTCGGCCGCCAGCGGCCTAGTCTTGCCTTGCTATGTTGCCTTTTCAGCTCGTCTCCTTGAGAGACCACTTTGCCTACAGCCTTTTCTCTTTCCGGATTGCCTTATCTTGGTCTGCCAGGTTTGCCTTCGACAGGTGCTAGTGCCTCAGATTTGCCTCAGACCATGGGGCAAGCCCCTGGATTTGACCACGAGAATCTTCTCAGGCTCCCGTCCGAAGAAAGCCTTCCCAGCCTTGATGCCACAGGATTTGCCCAGATACATCAAGATGACCTCAGATTCTTCCCCTCCAGCGAGGGATCGGCCTCTGCCTCTAGCCATAGCGAAATCAGCCCACGACTAGCCTCGACAGGTCCTAACGACGAGTCACAGCCCCAGTTCTTGCCTCTAGCCTTGAGACCACAATTCATGTACAGGGTCGGTCTCTACGAACAGATAGCCTCTCGACCTCAATCTTTCCGGTTTGCCGCCTCAGGTCAGAGTCTCGCCGACACCTTGTTCGGTACTCAGCCTTGCTCATTGCTCTTACTTTGCCTAGACTCTCGAGATTGGAGAGCCATGCTTCTCGGCAACCGCGCCTGCCACGACAACTTAGCCGATCAAGCTCGGGCCACAGCAATGCAGTTGCCCTTTCAGGTCTGAAGCTTGTGGCTCCACGTTGCTGAGTCCCAAGCTCAGCCCCGCCTCATGCATAAAAGCACACATCCTCAGATCGATCGCATTGTTCACAGCGTTTCTGCTCGAAAGTCGAACCCGCGATCCCGTGCTATAGCCTATTAGCCTATCATGCCTCGCACAGCAGCCGAGCGCAGGGCTTGGGATGCCAATTGGAATAGCCACAGCAGCCCGGCCTATCAATTTAACGGGGGCATGCCTACGGGCAGCGCCTCATCCCAGCTAAGCCAGATGCAACGTCTGAACGCTGGCCTCTCGGGGCCGTTAGCCTTTCAAGCAGACCATAGCCACATGACCGACCTATTGCCTTCAGCCTCCTTGGAGAGCCACGATGACTTTGCCTCCGACTTGCCCCGCGATCCTTCAGCCGCAGCCTCCTCACCGCAGCTACAAGCAAACCAAGCCGATATCGCCGAACTTAATCGCCGACTACAAAGCCTCGACCTACGAGTTCGCATATTGGAGGCCGAGCGCTCCGGCGCACAACAAGCCTTGTGGCACTATCACAGAGCCGCCAGAGACAGCCAACGCCTACGCAGCCTCATATCTCCATGGGCTTTTATGTCTGCGAAGATGGATTTGATCAGAAGCCGACTTAATCTTACCTTCAACCGCCTCGAGAACCTGCTCACAGCCTTACAACAATCCTGGCCCAGCTGGGCTGCCTATTTTTCACCAGCCGCTTTAGACAGGCCTAATTATCAAGGGCCTGACTTGGAGGCCTCGGAAACCGAAGCCTGACCCAGCATCGCCTCTTCGTTTCAGCCTCATAGCCTTGAGCCATCCGAGCCTATGAGCGCCCCAAAAACAGATTGGCTCATAGCTCCTTGCCATCGTGTTGACCAACCTGCCCTGCTCGTGCATCTCAGGTCTGCACTAGCCTCTCAGCCTATGAGTGAAAAGCGCCGTTAAACCGAGGCCGCGTGCATCGCAAGCTAGCCTCCCGTTGCCCTTGCTTTTGCCGTGCCCCAGGTCAGCCTTGTCATCATCTACGCCCACAGCGCAGCGCATCAGCCACAAGGACCGCTGGTCCGCCTGTTGTCAGCTAGCCCATCAGGTCAGCCGGCATGCGTCATCAGCTGCATTTGCCTTAGCCATCTCTGAGCTCCAGCATACTCTGAGCTATAACAGTCCACCATGGACCATTCCGACGCAGCCTTCGCGCCCTGGCTGGCCACCCTCAGCGCTGAGCAAAAGAAGGAGGTGTGGCGGATGATGTCCGAGTCAGCAGGCACAAGCGCAGCCTCCTCCACAGCCGATGCAGCCCCTTCAGCTGATGCGGTGCCAGCCTCCTCTTCAGCCTCATCCCGGCAACCGGTCGTTCAGCCTACACAGCCAGCCTCGGGGCAGACGTCCCCATAGCCTCGGACTCGGCCCCTCAGAGTATTTTCAGCCAACAGGAGCTAGCCAACCAGTTAGAATGGTACGAAGGCCAACAAGGATGTTTCCAGGGAGACATACCCCCCGAGATTCTGCCTTCCCAGGATTCATCCACGCCTACCCCGGCCCAGCCTGCTCCGGAGCATGTCGAGGCGCGGGGGCAAGATGTTCCGCAGCCCCAACAGGAGCCTCCAGAGCCTTGGCTGCCATACGCCCTGCCTCTACAAGATCACGGGGGCAGCGGTGGCCTATGCAGACATCGCCGATATGGCCTCCTACAACCACGAGTTGCCTATGTTCTGGAAGTCAGCCGAGTCAATTAGCTTCGACAAGCACCTCAATCGCTACGAGGTCTGGGCCTTCATACAACGCAAGCCTATCTACCGCCCACAAGGAGCCTGGGCGCCAAAATCAGCATTCAGTGGTATGCCACCTCCTCCAGCCTTTTTATGCCCACGCTTGTCGGATCCCCCGGGTGAGCCTACCCCAGCCTCAGCTGCTACCGCAAAGCCTCAGACCTCAGCCAAAGAAGCTTGGGCCGATGCCACGGACGAAGCCGACGAAGTGCCCAAATCAGCAGCGCCGGATCCAACTCGGCAGACCAACAAGCAGCCACAATATCTCCGACCCGTTCCGGACCAAGAGTACTTGCCCAAGCCGGGAGAGCCTACGATACAGGTCAAGGCCATGCCGACAGCCGCCCCCAAATCGCTTACAGTCGGCCCACCCCCGCCCAAGGCAGAGCCAGCTCAGTCTTCTCGACTGCCACCCCAGCAGCCTATACAGCAGCCTCCACCCCAAGCCCCGAACCCACCTGAACCGGTGGTTGGCCTCAGGACTTCCGATGGCCAGCGCCTTCAGATGGAAGACGTAAACTCGGACATCTGGGAGCCTACTGAAGGCGAGCTCGACCCCTGCCTACGGCCTACTTACAGCGGAGCCAAACCACCGCCTCTGTTCGGGTCGATCATGATCTACCAGGGCAAGCCTTGGGTGAATGCCTATGGGGGCCAGCTCCCGGAGCACCACATGCACGCCGTTGATTGGCCTTGGTATACCGCCTATAGAGATGACCTCACATGCGTTGTGCCTCAGATGCCGCCCTGGGACCTCGCCCGATGGGTCCAATTAGAATTAGCCGCGGGTCGGCCTATACTCTCCCGGCCTATGCCTCAGCCTCGACCGGCCTCACCTCCGTCCTCCGACCAGGACGAGCCTCAATGTGACAACCTGCCTCGGTCGGTCATAGACCTTGACCCGGAGCGGTGGAATGCCAATCTCAGCCGATATTGGCATCATGGTGCGCGGGGGGTCGGGAACCCTCGCACCATTCGGCAAGCCCATCGCGAGCCTATACAAGCCCAGTCCGTCGACGGCTACCCACAGGATGTCTTCCACAGCCGCAGACAGGAGCGAGTTCGCCCACCGAGCAGCCTCTTCTCCACCGAGCCGCCGGTATTTGCCTCGAGGCCTCAGCACAGAGCCTTGAGGGGGTGCATCATGATCCCCAGCCTCATCCTGCCGGACACCTACCAGGTGAATCCAGACTACGCGCGAGCCTACTTCCTAGACAACAACGGGCGCCTACGATGCATGCTCCCATGCTCGACGACCCCTTTTTGCCCATTTAATAGCGCATGTGCAAGACCTATTCATATCGGAACAGCCGAGACCGCTGATGACCATTCCGGTCATCAGTGTAGCCGCTGTAAGGAATTCGCAGACCTCGGCCGAAGCCCATTTGAATGGTTCGATGCAGTCCCTAGAGACGCCTTGCCTTGAGCCGCTTCGTAGCCTTTTAGCCTCTGTCGAGATTCGACACC